ATGTAATGACTGAAACGTTCATATGAAATTTCATTGCATTTCCATGACAGTACTTCTCTTCCACTCTGAGTTGGCGCTCGGTGTGTGTTTGGGCTGGCATTCCTTGTGTGCGTGTATTTGTCAGCATTATATTCACCCTTTGTTCGATTGGGATTGTTCAGAGAAAAGCAAAAATAAACTTCATATTGAGGGCGTGACTCTCTAGGTAAATGGCCAGGCTTAGTAGCGTACATGTCCTGAATAACGCTGACAATTTCAAAGACCTTTTTCCGGCAGCATTTACGGGAACTGCTGTTTCCCATAGAGACAACAATATAATTTTTTTTTACCTATCAGATAGCAGGTGATAACAGATATCAGCTGTCATGAGAGCAATAGACAACAGGTCTATGAACTGGTGAGTATCGTTGGAGGAAGTAACTTGGTATCCGAGCTGATGTTTGTTAGAACAGCCTATAGGGCATGTAGGAAAAGGGACAGAAGAAGAGACGTGACCTGAAGTATAGTGGACATTCATTACAGTGAGGACAGTCATGCCATGCCACTTGTTGTCATGACAGCAGAGGGACAAAGATGAAAGACTGGCAATCATCTTCCTTCACATCCCCATCTAAGAAAGCAAAACCATTTCAAAAAAAAAAAAAAAAAAAGCGTTAACAAGTTTGGGTTATGATTTTTTTTTATGTTTAAAAAAAAAGAAAGAAAAAAGCCTCATGCTCACCAAGGCTGCATTTATTTGATCACAAAAATATCTTTTCAATTTTAATATATTTTAAAAAGTGTTTTTTTTCCTGTGATGGCAAAGCTGAATTTTCAGCATCATTACTCCAGTCTTCAGTGTCACACGATCCTTCAGAAATCATTCTAATATGCTGATTTGCTGCTCAAGAAACATTTTTTATTATTACCAATATTGAAAACAGTTGTGCAGCTTAATATTTTGATCAAAATGGTTATAAAAAAATGTTTCACGATTCTTTAGTGATTAGAAACTAGAACCCCATTAAGGCTAGCCCAAACTAAAAGATTTTTAAAATCTTATCAGATTTTCAAACTGTGAGAGACCACAAACATGATGATAAAAACGGTTTTGTTCCCATAGTGTGTGGAGTACCACGATGTGACCAAGACAGCACACCACTGCGTCTGAAATCACATGCTCTTGGGTAGGTACTTATTTTGAATAAGTAATTACTTCACGACCGCTAAAAAATATGTTCTATGAATGTGTGTAGTATAAATGTAATCTGGACATACTGCTTTTGCTATGCCCTCATCATCCGGTGACCCACCAGCATAAGTTACGTCGCTTTACTGCCATTCACAAATCATCTCCCGTGGCCTCATGGGAAAATAAAGGGCCTGTCCAAATACCCATACTTGCGGTCTTTGCACTTGACCACTTGTCACGTATTTCCTGTATTTGGCCAGTGTTTAAGTAGGCATGAAGACTGCAAGTGTGAGTAGAACTTTTGATTACCCAATGGGACACACTTATAGTGTTGCAAATGTTTACAGTGCTTTATTTAGATTTTCAATACTTTGCATTTTAAAATAAACTTCTTAATGCATTTTAAAATAAACATCTTAATGCATTTTAAAATAAACATCTTAATGCATTTTAAAATAAACTTCTTAATGTCTGTTCAGTAGTCCCTTGCGATTTCACGGCACGCGATTTCACAAACCTAATGCACGATAGGATATGCTTAGCCTCGAATACTGCTTCGGAGTAGTGTGGGTTTAGTGTGCTTTGAGGGCACTGCGCTTTTTGATGGGACAGTCTTGCACACTTGCTTTCTGTTGCATGCACGTGTTCTCAAGTGGCGAAGACCACAAGTGTGGGTTTTTGGACAGGCCCAAAGTGTCCATCGTATGATTGGATTGTCGGTAAGATTTGGGCCCAAAATCGTCCCGTTTATCTTGTGTGTGGGTGCCTTAAGTCATCGTACAACTTGTTTAACTCGTACTGCACCATTTTTTTATTCCATTTCACTGTCCTTAACTTGATTGTGTTTTTATAATGACGCTATTAGCTGCTGACGTATTGAAAATCCACCAGAGAGGATGCCATCTGCGGCTTTCGGTCTCTCAAGAAATAATTTGCGCAGCTTGTGTTTACTTGAATGAGTAATAACTTGTGCCAGAACTGTAATCCGTGAAACACCGGTATGCAAGTTACTCATTTATTTTCAAGTAGCGCCATCTGACATGTTCTTAATGATACTGAGGATGTCCTGCGGGAGCAGCCTGAGATTAAGATGATTATATGTTATTGCTCATTAGTTTCATTTGAGACACTCAAGAAAAGTATGAAAATGATCCAAATGATCCATTGTAAATGGTGGATGAGTATGAGATAATCATCTTTGAAATATTCTCAATAATTAGAGATGAGTCAACGGAGACTCATGCATTCATTTGTTAAGCTGCGAAACAAAATGTCCAGGATGTCGATGCAATTCTGGCCATCTGGGAAGAGGCAGACCATGGAAACCATGAGCAATGGTATGTGAAGGAAATTTTAACAGGCCCGAGACGACTGGTTTGGAATAAACACAGACTTCAATCCTCAAAGTCTCCTAGGACAGAAGGATTCATTCAGGAACATTCTTTCCTATAATATAATATAATGTAGTTTATATAATGTGATTGAAGTAATAGGGATTTTAAAGGGGTATTTTTAGTATGGGTGAAGATTACTAGGGGAGCTGCAGAAAGGAGAAGAGGAGAAAGGAACAGAAGATGAAAGGAGAAGAGTATGATGGAGGAGAGGATGGGCAGGGTAAAACTGGATTACACCCTCGCACAGAGAAAGAGAGGGATTATCCAGCCTCTGAAAGAGGAGAAGAGTCAGCGGATTAAGCAGATAACGAAGAGGAGTGGTGAGGGGATTACGCCGATGAGAGCTGGATTCTACAATAATCCCTTCTGAAAAAACAACATTTTATCGACTGCCAAACACACTAGCGCTGATTGTTAATATATTCCTCCATAACCTCATCCACTCTTTGCCTGAAATTCATTTGCCATTAGATCATAATGCAGTTCTAATCTCACTTTACAGTAAAATTCTTGTCTTGTTTTCCAGCAGACATTTAATATAAACGGTGCTTCATTCACTATCTCTTCGTGCGCCTCTATCTAGTGTCAGTCCCCCCCCCAGCTCTAATTTAAGAGACCGTGGTTATATAAGGCAGATGGTCATGAGGTCAGCTGTGTGTGTGTATGTCACAGAGAAAAAAGACAGAAAAGAGGCTGCTTTTGAATGAAAATTTGCAATTCAAGACTGCAGGAAGGTAAGGAAGAGACTCTGAAACAGGAAGGTACATCTAAACAGAAGAATAATGAAAAGGGAAGCAATGCTCCTGGAGCGGAAACGTTCGTATATTTACCCCGAGGGAGGTGTGTTTTGACAACGCTGCACAAACACTGCTGGAAAGATTGATTTTCCTCATGCTGTAAAACAGAATGCATAAAGATGTAGACGAGACAAAGTCTGAGGAATAAACATGGTTCATGATAGGGACATCATGCAATATAAAGGGCCATAAATCTATAAAAAAAAAATGCATAAGAGAGAGACTGAAAGAAAGCAGAGGATAGAAGGAGTGGCCGCACAGGAGGGGGTGACAAAGCTTTCTTTCAGCTTCCGTGTGTTTCCGCTGTTCCACTAACCTACTTACTATAATCTCTTCTCTCCTCATTTCATAATGGAGACTCCCTGGTTACATCATATTCCTTCTATCTTCTGCACACTTTCGCACGTCCTGTTATTACATCCCCCACATTATTGCCATTATTAGATTTGGCTTCCTGAAATAAAGTCAGTCTCCCTTCCTTCTCCAACACGTTGCTTCATCTCTCGGTCAACCTCAACTCGTCTACAAGATGTTCACAAAATTTGTATTTATTTTTGATAGCATTCTTTGAGACGTAAGAAGGGTTTTATGCCATTCAAAAATATTTGCCCAGCACCCACCAGTGATGATGTATAAGAGCTCCCATATGTGCAATATGGGTTACATCATGCATTTACCCATCAGATGAGTTTTTGTTTCAGTCTGTATTTAAAAGCTTGCGTATATACTTGTCATAATGTCCATGTTTCTTTCTCCTTTGTCAGCATTAAACACTGCATTTGATTAAATGTTATTTGAAGAGAAAAAGAGCCATTTTAATTATTAACGTCACAAATTGACCTATAAACTATCATCTCTGCTCAACATTTATAGCATTTAATGAAAATATGCTTTGGCAAAACTTATGACATTGAGTTCTCCCTTGGATTATTTTCTTTGGTTTGTTGTATTCTCATTTGCAAGTCGCTTTGGGTAAAATTGCACATGTTCAAAGAATTGATTTATAGGTGTTTTGGCTTGGATTTCAGTTGGCTGTAATTTAGGCAACCATTTGACTAACCTGGAGTTAAAAATCCATACACAACTGCAAAATATCCCTATAAACATGGAAATTTGTGAAAAATATAGTAAAATCTCACTTAGACAACCTCCCAGGAAGCATAATAATATTGTAGCATACAGATCTCTCCCTTTTTAAAATTGCCTTAACCTGTTTTTACTTTATGAAAGAAAAAAATACACTGTCCCTACAATAATAACTTTATGTTGGACAGGTCTGTTTTAAACCGATAAAAAGCTATACACTTTCTCTGACCTAATTTTGAATTATTTGACTATTTATTACAATTGTGTTGAAAGCCTCAGTAGCAGTCAAGTAAAGCACGTTTGCTTCTGTGAGGAAGGAAAAGAATGCCGTAATTTTTTTCAGTGGGCGCTGTGCTGTAATCGCTAACTATTGCAGCCGCAGGAACCGCGAGCCCGCGAGAGATTCCCACGATACTGTTGTGGTGACACTGACACACTGCCACACTTTCCCACGCGCGCTCGAGCTCTGGCACACGGATCCTCCTTAAAGCGCGTGCCCGAGTGCGGGAGCGCGCGCCGCTGCCTGGGGGCACTAGGCGGGCCAGTGGAGCGAGATCATGTGAGAGTCCACGCGCCGAAAGTAGCACAGACGCAGAGAGAGGGAAAGAGTAGAGGGCATAATTTTATTACATAGCCGACAGAGCGCGCATTTACGCAGGGGAAAAAAAAAGCCTATGATGAAGCGGAATTTACTTTGAACAACCAGATGAGAAGAACAAGTAGGCTGTGCAATAACTTATGAGGTTAAGTTGTTTTTGTTTTTTTACAACTGCTCTGTTTTGGAGTTTTCAAATTTTCACCTGAGTTTTACTTTCGGCGCTGTTCAAATGTGCTGGAGTTATATTATCATTCGTAGATAATATAGCATCAAAATGAGAGGTAAGTTAAAGAAAATGCATTTTTAGAAACAAAATAAAATTGTTTAATGTTGTCACTTTGACAGTTGTGATCGTGATTGTGTTTGCTTTGATGTTGCACGAACTGCGCAAAGTCTTAACCAAAGTAAAGCACGCGCAAGCGCGCAAAAATATCGCTCAGATAATTTGCAAGTTGCAACTGGTGGTTGTTTGTAACATATGTTTCTTCACTACTTTGATTGTTTCTCGCCACTCAAACATATACCGAATATAACCAGTACACGGAAAACATAAACTTTGCATAGCTCTGTTTGGTTTCTTCGCTTGCAAGCGTGAGAGCGATGAACGTCATGTAGGAAACGTCTCTCTGTGTTGCCATGTCCGCTTTTTTAAAACCTTTTTGGGATTGTTTTACTTCTTTTCGTTTCATAAATATGGCCAGTTAATGTTTTGCCGTTTTTGTCAGAATAGTCGCGCATGTAGGCTGAATATGTAACCGCGTACTTTTGCTGAAGGGGTGGGCATGAAAGAGATGTAGTCTATATTTAATAAGTTAGATGACCAGTTGTATGTGAAACATTTTGATTATTAAGGGTTATAGTTGTTGAAATTACGTAATTTGTAGCAAGTTACAAACTTAGACTTGAGTAGCTAATTGATGTCTTTTGCTAGAATAAAGAAGCTATTCAAAATAAGCAATTGTCTTTTCTCCATTATTTTCATATTTTGAGTTAAAAAAGCAAGTTGCTTTTTATTATGTTTTTTATACCAGGTTGCTTGTTTTTCTTGCTAGATTTGGCAACAATCGTCTCACTGTAGTTACTGTTAACTGCCGCTAAGCGCACCTCATTATGTAAGAATTAAACAACGTGTTTGAAAATGCTTAAAAATATAATAATCATTAGGTGCTGTTATTTAAACTGCATGCTTACTTATTGGAAAGTTCAAATAATGCATTATAGTTGTGCGTAAAGTTGATAGCCTATATGTCTTTGGTCACGTATAAGCTCTTAACCGCCATGTTGAACTTGAGCTCCACTGAATGTTTGTGTCTTTATCGTGAAAAAGCTTATCAGTAAGTTCAGGGGAGATCTCTGCATGTCAGTATGTGATTGTGAGCTGTTGGGGCACAGGGAATGGGGGTGTATCTGCTGTGTGTTGTTGTTTTTCAGTCTCAGCATGGCCCCGATCTGACAGTCTTTCTGCTCCATTGACCTACTTCTGTCATTGAGGATTACACAGCATATTACATCACTGATAGATCAGGGCGCGAATTGGTCAGTTTTCATATCTGTTAACCGTTTTCCTTAACCCAGTGCTGAATCTCGGCATGCCAAACAGTGTGATGGCAAACTGTATACTAAACCTGAAATGCTGTATGAAGAAAACAGCGCCTGCTTTGGTGCGAATGCGTAACAACAAGGGCTCAGTCAAGCAGTTGCGTGTGATTTCAGATATATTAGCTAACTTTTAATAGATTGTAATAGTTTATTTTTTATATCCTAGTAATGTTATATTCTCGAATTAGTTATATTTATGCATTGCCACTGGAATGTACAGACTTTTGTTAGTTGAAAATGAAATTCCCAGAATGTGCTGAATGGAAACTAAGTAGAATTGACAATGTGCAGAGATGTAGCAAAATTCAATTATGGGTATTATATATTCAGTATGTTTCTTTTGACTTTATCCATGATCCAGAGGAAAGACACTCTTCTATATGCAGAGTGCTGTAACTTTTAAGCCACCATGGCTTTGAAGACTTAGGCAATGAGCCGTCTATAAATGAATTCTGAGCAGCTTAATGCAGTGGCACTTTGACACCTGCCCATGGACTTTCCATTTATTTAAACCACAACTTAAGCCCAGGCAATGGGAGAATGTGACCAGCCACTTGATCTATAAGGGATTAAAATCTCCTTTTGCTAGAAAAAGTCAAGATTTTCAGAATGGAGAGAATGGTTTAACAATAAGTACATTATAATTGTTACACACCTTATGGCGTTTTAGTTTATATGTCTTAAATAAAAATGTATTTTTTTGCCATGACTCATGGCTCATTAATAATAATGACCAACCAATTTCCATCTTAATATTTTCATACACATTTTTCTAAAAATCCTATTTTATTTTTGAATGAGACTTTTATTGTTTCCTAATCCCAGCAGGCATCAAGATAATTAATGCCCATCAAGAGTCACCTTACACTCCCTATCAGCTCATGTTTTTCAACTTGGTGTTGTTACTTATACCAACGAATTACTCAATCCCTCTGTGCATATTTAAAGAGTCTTGCGGTGTCATTCCACAATCTCAATTTACTTGGTATAGGTAGGTCACTTTTAAGTGATGTGTGGGAGAGGAAAAATCATGACTGCTGACCACAAAACTGCTTTGAAATCTCACATGCGTGTAAGTGAATGCAAATGGGACCCTGTTTGCGTGTGATCAGAGCAAACTTGCTGGTGGGGACGCAGAGCAGGCTCCAAAATGTACTTTAATATGGAGTGTGCACACAAATCTCACACAGGTTAGGTTAGCTAAGCACTCTTATGCAAATGCTAAGTGCAAGGTAAACGGGACCTTTGGACGTTGCCGAACAAAGTTGTTTGATTATTTGTGATAAAAGGGCAAAGTCTCTGCATTTGTCTTGGGTTTTTCCCAGCATCACGCAGTAAAACTGCTGACTGGTGTTCGATGGACTGACATACTGACTAAGTGACAGAGTGGCCAAAAGAGAGGAGATAAGAAGAGCTAGATTACTAACCCCATCTTGCCCTGATAAACATAGCACTCTAATAAATCTCCTCTTAATTAGTTTTTCGTCAATCTGACTGCGTTTCTCCTCCGGCTTCTATAGCAGTCCTAAACAAACAAGAGCTGTTTGATATACTTTTCATTTGCGTAAGTGTTTATGGGTGATTGGCTTGATATGTTATGAATAATGGTGACAAAAGGAGATGTTTGTCTTTTATACACAGCCTGAATGACAAAGGTTCCTGACTGTATTATCAAACCAACAGGCAGGCCTCTTTTTTGTGATTCTGTCATCCTTTCTGACCTCAAATATTTAGTTAATGATACATTTATTCTCATTTTCATTAATAAATTGACCAGAATTAATTGATATTATGGCAAAAAGCTGTAACACTTCATATTTCAGTCATACTTCCTTTGTAGTCAGTTCAGTGCGCTTTTACCTGTCATTTTACTATGCGAGTCACAATATGAAAGGTTTTGTTTTGCTGTGTGTGTGTGTGTGTGTAAAAACCCACCTGACGCATAGCATGGGAAAACTCGATAGGCTAGGTAAAACTTAAAAGGCTTGATAAATTCAACCTCCAGTCACCTCACCATGCACAGAAGCCATAGCTTAAAAATAGTTTTATGTGAGCGCTCCGAGACAGCTGGGACTGTGCTCAAATTCTTGACAGGCTGCCACATGTTGAGGGCAAGTGTAAGTTACAGGGCCCTTAATGAGTGTACTGTAGATATTTTAAGTGTGCAAAAGTCATAAATCAGGCCCATGCCATTTCATAAAATGCGCCTCTTGATCTTATGTCTCCGATAAAAAGGTTAATCAGAGTTGTTTATAGTGCAGGCTTTGGATTTGTCTGAAACTGAAATGACTGTTTTTCCTGATAATATGATGGTCTTTGATTTTGTGGTTCCACCTTAAACATGCCAAGAGGGGAAAAAAAGGGAAAAACAAAAAATGTAATCAGATTACAGCGCTTGCGAGGCTACCGCACAAGCGCCTCCCTCGGCTCAGTAGGAAAGTGTGTCAGTAGAACAGCTAAGCCACATAGCCTGACCATGCTACGCAGGTGAGTGGCATGTGAGCGGGCGAGTCAGAATCAAAGCTAAGCTGTCACGAGCCAATGGGAACGTGGGAGGGGCGGGAGGGAGGAATGCTCGTCACTGCGTTGCTAGGGTGATCTCCTCTGAATGAGTGTGTTCATGGAATGTTGCCAAACAGCAGTTATATAACACAGGGAGGGTGGGGGCCAGGGGCTCAGAATGGGGTAGAAGGAAAGAGAGCGAACGAAAAATAATGAATATGTTCCATTTAGTAATTTCACTGGCATATTACATTATGGAATAAACTTTATTACTTTAAAATTACTTCAAGAGATTGTGTTTATCAACCTAGCTTCTGGAAATGTCAGGCAGACGTGTCTCTCCTTCTCTCTCTCTTTTCCCCCACTCTCGACCTCCATTGCTCACACATGTGACGCACGCATCAGCTAACATTCGGCCCGAAGTGTGAGTCCTCATGTCATTATCCCTGGACGGCCAGTTCTCTTTGTCACAACACATTAGCCGTTACCTAAGATATTGCGTCATTGCGTAAAACATATTACTGACATTTCCTACATCAAGTTCACCTGAGAGGACAGTGTTCCCTGGAAATAACCTTTATTGGATGGGATCCATCCTGAATCATTTGAGTCATCTGCAATATGTGCTAGTTGTTAACCTTAGGTCACTGCAGATACATGCTATCGACCTGCTATTCTGGGATGGCGCTTCTACTTGGATAAACAGTATAATGAAAAGAACAGCTTGATTTAATGGGATGTAGAGGACTTACTTGTGCACATTTTGTTGTGTATATACTCAGTTTTGTTTAGTTCTAAAGCACTCTTTGCACTCAAAGGCGCTATTCATGAACCTGCAGCTGTTTATAATTCCCACACAGAGCATCACAATCCGCTTAATTCCAGCACAACTATGCCAAGCAGAGAGCAAGCTTTGTTAATAAAGCTGTTTTTGATTCTGTGGTGCAAGGACTTGTGTTATTATGTCATCCTGAGTGGGTTAAAACCTTGAGTCTTTGAATATGTGCTGTAGCGCTTGACCCCGCTCATTGTGCGTTAGCTGTTCATTATTATTATTGAAAGAATATGACACTAGCAAAGTTTCCACGTCCCTGTGAGAGTCAAACCAGACCTTCGGGCTTTGTGTCGGCCTATATTTCTTTTATGCTATTGAACGATTGCTCAAAGATCAATGCGTCAAACAAAGAACGCTGCTGTAGCTCGCTTTAGAACTGTTATGTAGATAGCGGATGGCTTTCAATGCTTTGAGCCAGGACTCTTCTATAGGCTGTGTGGTGGATAAGTGCAGGATAACTCTAGCTAATGTTTCAACCACTTCTCCCTCTCTTAGCTCAAATCGAAGTAATCCCCTGCAAGATTTGCGGGGACAAGTCATCGGGCATCCACTATGGGGTGATCACTTGTGAAGGCTGCAAGGTAAGTGAGCATCCTTTGAGTCATCTTTCCTTTTGCTCAATAAGGCTCAAAGGGATAGTTCACCCAAAAATGACGAGTCTATCATATTTACTCACCCTCATGTCATTCCAAATGTGTCTTTCTTCTGCGCAACACAAATAATGATGTTTTAAAGATTTTTGTCCATACAGTGATAGTCAAAGGGACCTAAAACAACATTGAACGGCTTTGACTTTCATCATATGGACATAAAACAGACGTTTTTAGAAATATCGTGTTCCACGGAAGAAAAAACTCATACATACATAACAACATGAGGGTGAGTAAATGATGATACACTTTTCTTTTTTTTTGGATGAGACATCTTTTTAGGAGACCTACATTTCTTAGAGTTGGTTTAAAGGTTTCTGTTGATCGGTTTTCCATGAAATGTTCCCATTGCTTGAGGGAAAAATAACAATAAACAGTGTAAGTATACAAGACTTGTTAAAATCTTGTAGAGGACCTTGTAGTTACACCCTGATGACGCCTTCATACTGTTCCCTGAAACAGTAAACAATACAACCTTTTTATCTGATTGGCTTTTTGACCAGTCAGAAATCTCAATCAGCTTGTATTTGACCAAAGGACACATAGTGTGTGCCAGATCTGATCTACTGTTTCAGACTCTCTGCCCGAAAGTCTTTGCCAAATGCCAAATTTGAATTGAATCCCATTACTCAACCATGTTTTCGAACCACCAGGGCATTAATAAATGATCAATGATCAGTGCAGTTGACTGGTGGCCGAATCCATACAGAAAGTCCTTGAGATTTTTCTATGCTTTGAAAAGAGTTAAAAGAGTTAATTTAAAATGTAACCCTTATTTTACGATGTTATCCTTGATATTTAATCCTTAATTGATTTACAAACATGGAGAAAATGGAAATGCAGCCTCTTCTTGACTTCAGTTTTCTTATTTTTTCCCCCCTTTTTCATTCATAAAGGGCTTCTTCCGCCGAAGTCAGCAGAACAATGCGATATACTCCTGCTCGAGGCAGAGGAACTGTCTTATTGACCGAACCAATCGCAACCGTTGCCAGCACTGCCGCCTGCAGAAGTGTCTGGCACTGGGCATGAGCCGCGATGGTGAGTCTATAATCTAAATTAAGGGAGTTTTCTACTGGATGTGGAGTCTCCTTGAGTCCTATTAAACACCGCTGTGGTCTCAGTGTGAATGTAATGACTTTGTATAGCCAATGGCCACTGGCTATATGTGGTATAATGTTGGCCCGTTTTGTCAGTTCTTATCAACAATCAAATCTAACGTTGTCTTTCTTTCAACGCCCTCCTTTTTTTCTCTGCAGCGGTGAAGTTTGGCCGCATGTCGAAAAAGCAGCGCGACAGCCTCTATGCTGAGGTTCAGAAGCACCAGCAGTCCCAGGAGCGGGCAGGGGTTCTGAGCAATGGTGGACCCGGCCACGCTGGTGATGAGGCTGGGGAGAACGGCATCAGCCATGGCCGGGCCTACAGCCGGGGCTCCAGCACCACCCTTAGCGACCTGGATGACATAACCACGCTACCAGACGGTCTCCTGTTGGATCTGCCGCTCACACCGGAGGAAGCCGCCGACTACTGCAGCCTAGAGCTGCTGGGGGGAAGCGGTGGGAGCAGTTCGTCCTCCCAGAGTTCTCCTGAGCCCAGCAGACATGAATTTAGTGACGTGACACACATCAAACACGAGTACCAGACCCTGCACGAGTCGGGACTCTTCACTCGCTCATTACTTAACCCACCTGAAGGCTGTTCCTTGATGGAAATTGGTTAGTACACAGTGATATTAGGAATTTTATTTTATTTTCACTTCTGTTCAAAATTTGAGGATCATTAAGATTTTTTTTATAACTTGAAAGAAGGCTACATTTGTTATCATAAATACGGTTAAATCAGTAACACTGTGAACTATTATTACAATTTATTACAAAGCTGAATTTTCAGCAGCCATTAGTACTCCTTGATCCTTCATAAATCATTCTAATATGCTGATTTGGTGCTAAAGAAACATTTCTTATTATCAATGATGAAATAAGTAGTCGCGTAGTATTTTTCTGGTAACATTATAGAAAAGAAATTGAAATGATATCTAATACTATTTCTTTGTAAAAAAAAAAAAACAGAATAAAGTACTATAAAAACAAAATTAGTTCAAAATAAATCAGTTTTCAATACTGAAAATGTAACATTTTTAAATATTTAATAGTTTTACCTATATAAATATATTTCAATGTATAATAGGTTTTAATATTAACTTGTAAATGAGCATGTACATTTAAATATCCAATATTGACTGATACTGATAAATTCAGTAATAATATCACTAATATCTGCCAATATATCATATATCCCGGCCTATATGCTTCCATAGTTAACAAACTTTGTAAAGATGTTGTGCATGGTTAAATTGTATAAATGTATGTTTCCTTTAGAACGGATTACACAGAATGTGGTCAAATCCCACATCGAGACAAGTCAGTACAGCTCAGAAGAACTGAAGAGATTGGCTTGGACCCTCTATACACATGAGGAGATACGTGTCTACCAAAACAAGGTATCTGTCAACTGCCAATGTGATGCATCACACTTTCTAATACCATGGAGTGTAACAGCCAGTTTTATGATGTGTACATTGTGATCCTAGCAATTACCCAACCTCACATTCCACATTAATGAATTCAATAATGAATTCAACACAGAATACAATAATTTTTTAGCAGCCTAATTAAAAGTGGATTAAGACTATGTCAAATGCTCATCATTATTGCGATCAGAATGTGGGTGGAAGTGTCTAACATATATATTTCTTTATCCAAGTCCACAGAGATGTTGTGGCAGCAGTGTGCTGTGCACATCACGAACGCCATCCAGTATGTGGTGGAGTTTGCCAAGCGTATCTCTGGATTCATGGACTTGTGTCAAAATGACCAGATTATCCTTCTGAAAGCAGGTCAGCATCAACTCTGTGCAAGACCGCAACCAAATCAGATACTGTTTTCCACATTAGTGAATACCTGCAGTAAATACTCTTTAAGTGCCAAGTTTATATCTCTAGTTAAATCTTCTAATACAGTATATTTATAGTATAATAGTTTGAGTTTAGACCGTATGTATTCTTAGTTTCTCATCTGTGTTCTGACAATGGCTCTTTGTCGTTTTCTCTCACCCTTTCTTCCCGTTTGTGTCCTCCCTTTGTGCATTGTGTGGTGTGCGTTTTACCCCAATTTGTTATTTAAATGAAATCAAAAAACACTTCTTTTTTTTTCCTCTCTCTTTAAAACAACCATCATGCCATTCGATTGAATGTTGACATCACTATTTGTCGGTGAAAATGATGACTGTTTTAATGAATCCTCAATTTGAAAACATTTTGTAATTTGTGCAATTAAATCCCAATTGTTTTTTGTTTTCCTCTGTGTACGTGTGGAGCATTCTTTTGCCGGTTTCTCCCCTCTGCCTCCCTCTTTCCTGCCTTTCCTTTGTCCATCTTCTATGTGGCGCTGACCATCCAGGCTGCTTGGACGTGCTATTGATCCGAATGTGTCGGGCCTACAACCCAATCAACAACACGCTGTTGTTCGATGGAAAGTTCACAAGCCCGCAGCTCTTTAAAGCGCTCGGTGAGTCTCCTCCCTAGACCTTTCACATAATTTAGCACCCTGTAGCATTTCAAAGGGCATTTTGGGTACTTGTGTGCAATTAACCTGAGCAATGGTACACCAAGTGCTGTATAATCATATAATCAAGTCACGATTACTCTTTATTTTGACCTAAAGAAACATCAATTTAAATGGAAAATAAGTCAATTTCCTGGTCAATTGAATGATTGCTAAAGTTGGTTGGTTTCCTGTCTGTTTACATTTTCCTTTTTTTGTTGGGCCAATTACAATGTAATGATTTTTCTCTACGATTCTCTATTGCTACTTTTGCTCTATTATATATCATATGTATTTTTCCTGTCTGTAGGCTGTGATGATCTGGTGAGTGCTGTGTTTGAGATGGCTAAAACCCTGAGCCGGCTACAGTTGTCTGAAGAGGAGATGGCTCTGTTTACCGCCACTGTGCTTCTGTCTCCAGGTAGTTTTACTATAACATTCATTTAAAGTAATCTTTAACTTTTATTAGTCTTTACAGACGTTTGAGTTTACTCTTCCACTAATTTATTTCATAGACCGACCTTGGTTGACAGATGCCCAGAAGGTGAAGAAACTTCAGGAGAAGGTCTATGTTGCGTTGCAACACTGGCTTCATAAAAGTGGTGCCAATGAGGAGAAACTGTCAAAGGTACTGGGAAGAAATCCAAAGATTGAATGGAAAAGCAAGTTCATACTCTCACAGCTGTTAAATGTGAGAAAATCAGGATATTCAAAATAAACATATGCAGTTAATAAATATATCCATGCTTGTTAAATTTGACATTCTAACTGTTTTATATTATGTGTGAATTCTGAAAACTGATCAAAACCTTCTGAATTGACTGCAGAAGATTTGAACTACAAGAGTTCACCTTCGCAAACGTCTTGTTTGGAATACTTTATAAATCAAATCAAGACGGGACATTTAACTAAAGTCAGTTGCATTCTTTTATGGTGAAATTTAATTCAGATTTAAATTATATTTTATACAAATGAGACTGGCATCCAAGCAAATTGCCCAATAACTTGTTACACACATACGGTTCAAAGGTTTGAGGTCAGTAAGATTTGTTTTTTTTAAGATGTAAAACAAATATTCAACAAGGGTGCATGAAATTGATAAAAAAAAAATTTTTTAAAGACATTTAAAATGATACAAAAGTGTTCTATTTCAAATAAATGCTGTTCAAATAAATATAACGTGGTTTACAACAATTTTTTAAAATTGTTTTTACATTGATAATAATAAGAAATGTTTTCTGAAGGATCATGTGATACTGAAGCCTGAAGTAATGGCACTGGAAATTCAGCTTTCCATTACAAGAATTTATTACATTTTATAATATTATGCAATAATATTTCACGATATTACGGTTTACTGTATTTTCAATAAAGTAAATGCAGCCTTGGTGAGCATGAGAGAGCGTAAGAGAAAAAAATCTTACCGACCCTAATCTTTTGAACGGTACTGTATAAAATTCATTAAAGTCCCGAATGCTTTTCACCACAAAAAACATTTACATTACAATATTAAATATTTAATCATTCAATCAAATTAAATAATAATATACAAAATATTTATTTTAGTCATCTGAAAGCCCTTTATTTTATTTTTATTTTTGTACCAATGAAGTTATGTAGGAAAATGTTATAACTGTCTTTTCTTTTTCTATTGATTCAATAGATGGTGTCCAAGTTACCCATGATGAAGTCCATTAGCAACCTCCATATTGATAAGCTGGAGTTTTTCCGCCTCCTTCACCCAGAAACGGCCTACCACTTCCCTGCTCTCTACAGAGAGGTTTTCTGCAGCGAGATCACCTTCCCAGACTCCACTGAGGGCTAACGTTCATTGAAGTCTCATATTGGCTCTGATGAGAGAGAGAGGGAGAGAAAGATCAAGAAAGACAGGGAATGGAAATAGAAGGTAGATGGATATGTGTTTGAGAAAAACCAGCAACATACTGACAATCTTGCACATTACACTTTAGGACTCCATCTGTAACCTCCCTCCTGATGGAGTGATTCACTCCTCCATTTGAACAGGACCCAGATTTCTTATGAGACACTTTTAAATGACAGCAGTCATTTAAGGTGCTAGTTACCATTACTCATGTTACCTACATATAGTGACTCAAACGGAGTACATGATGTATTTTTGATTGAAAAGTGTACTCGATTAAACCTGGAGCCTAGATCTCCCTTAAAAATGAAGTGCTTGAAAAGTGGATATTTCCCTGGACCACTTTCCAAGTACTCTTAGGATGAGAACTATGAATGTAACCCAACTGACATGTGGCAAAGCCTCAGGATTAAGACAGAATGTATTATGTATTCCTGCCCCATATGTAAAACAAGCTCTTGAGACTTGGTTACTGTAGAGAAACAGTTTTGAATCCATGAGAAACCGTTTAATGGGACCAATGCATACACACCTGAGGTCGTAAACGCCACATGAGCACCTTCACGTTCACAGACTCAACACTAACGTGCAGTGCACTGCACACACCACACGTGCATGTGGTGTGTTGTCTTTTGAGCTCTTTAATTTTGCATATAAATTTAAAAGATGCAACTAAACTAACAAAAACCTCATCCTTATTACCCTTTCCCACACAAATGCCACTTGGATAAAGATATTAGATGATATTTTGATATCCTCATTTGATCAGAAACCACCTGTATGTAGAACGATAGATGTATTTGAGAATATATTTATAAACAGAGCCTGTAGATAGCGTATGTAGGCAGAGGACTAACTAAATCGAAAGTTGCACCTTAGAGTGAATGTTCTCAAGCCCCTTCAGAGACTTTCCAACCATACCTGTGGAATTCTGGGGCTGGAGTTGGAATTGGCATGACATGCTGATTTTGATACAGGCGGACAGCACTTAAATACTCCACAAAAAAAGGACTTTGCAGGAGCAGGACTTTGCTGTCGCCCCACATTAGATGGCAGAAAGACAATGGCACTATGAGGGAGACTTTCTGAAGTCAGATTCTCCATGTGAGCGTGTAGCAAACCACTCAAACGGAGAACGCAAAGAACACTGAAGTAAGCTGCTGGAAGGAACCATATATTTTCAGAGACAACGGACAACCCGAGCTTGCCGTCAATCGCCAGGACACCGCGGAAATGACGAAATTCCGACTTTTTCTGTTTCAGCTGTGAGGAAAAGTGGATTCACAGGCCATACCTCATGCTTTGCATTGTGTCTGATGTGCGGATCAGTGTTGTGTTGTTGTGTGATTTGTTTTTTTTCCCCTTTATCCTTTGTGTTCACATATAGCACAACTATTGGTTGACAGAGTCATCAGCTACCCCCCTGAGTTAGGGAATACTATGGTTAGTTTGTGTTCCAAAACTTTGCAGTTCAATACAAAGGACAAAAAAGTATCTGCTATCTGTCCGCGCAGTTTAATAGCAGCCTCCATTCTTCCGAGTCAGGAAGTCAAGATTGGTCTCTCTGGGGAGATTTAGGAGTGGTCCAGAAAGCAGAACACCAACTGAAGCTCCAAGAAGGGCTTTTCAAAACCCCTCAGTGTCCAGTTCTAGCTTTTGTGAGATTACAGGGTATGAAAGATGTTTCGATTGATTGATAAGTATCGATCTCTAGTTTCCTGACAACTAAACTTAACAAGCTTGCCTGATGTTTCATGTTTGCACTGCTGGAACAGTGCCTAGCTGTATATTTTCTTGTAAGATTTTATATAGTTGGTATAATACACATTTTCTGGGTGCTTAATACAGTATCGTAATGTCTGCCCGTGCAATAATCAGTCTTTCCATGTTTAGTATTGACGGCCCTCACAAGCCAAGGATCTCCTTGGATTTCATAAGCACTCCAGATCATTTAACACCTCCTCGCTAAGTTCTGTCTACACTCGAAGTTTTCTTTATTTTTTTACGCTTTTCTAGTATTAACTGACTTCAATTGACGTGTGAAGGCGGGGAAAGATTGTAACAAGGTGCAAATACTTTTTAAAAACCATTTAGATTTTTGTGGAGTGTAATTCGCAGCCCTACAAACTGCCACAAGCGTTCGCCCCGTCCTTGAGGGTAGTTCTGGAAGTGTGCGTTTACATCTACACTCAGTCACTCAGGGAGATAGCTGGGTTCTCTGTCCTAAAATGTCTTCTTCAGTTAGCCTAGCAAGACACCTTGCACCAAATAGAAGACCTTAAACCTTGATCACTGTGTACGGTAACTTTTCTTGTGAATGTTAATTGCAGAAGTATCAAAGACTTTTACCCCTGTCTTATATCAGTGCTATTGGAGATCTTTTTTCAGTTTGAATTGGTTAAAAAAGAATAGGATCAAAACTATATTAAGGATGAATATAATCTTTGAATCTAGTGTTGTTGTGTTTTTTTTATTTGTTTATTTTTGTGATATTTTCTTTCTTCATTTCGGTAATTTTCTGTAACATATTTTCTCATCCGTCTAGTGTCATCCTTTGTCTTGAAGAATTAAAATCCTATTTTTTTAAAGAGCATTTTTAAGCAGAAAATCCCCCAAAAGAGTCTTTATTCTTTGCCATGATCCTTCTGTGGTTGTTTCAGTTTTAACTTCATTTTTAAGTAAATAAATCATATTATAGATTTTAAGGAATATAATTTTATGATATATTATGGGTACAGAGGATAAAACAAACATTAAAGAGTAATTATTGTACAATGAGGATTGAACACATGGATTACAGAATGTAATAAAGGTCTTTTTACTTTATACTGAGTGTTTTGTGGCTTTAAAAACTCCTAAAGGAACGATCCTGCATACTTTTATGTCCAAATTAAAAAAAAAAATTAGGTTTTTTAATTAAAATCTCAAAACTTCCCATATCTTATTTGATCATAATCATATATATATATATATATATATATATGTATATATTTCATCAAATTTATTTAATTAAAAATAAAATGTACACTATATTGTAACTTCCCCATTTACAAGTTATATACAGAGGTGGACAGTAACAAAGTACATTTACTGTACATTTACAGTATACTGTTCTTCGGTACACCTTTTGAGTATCTGTACTTAACTTGAGTATTATTTTTTCTGGATATCGAAAAATCAAATATCGTATTTTTTACCCCACTATGTTTCTGTCAAGATCCTTGAGTAAGTAACGTCAGTCAGGGGATGATTCTGGTTGCAGGGGTTGCATTTTGGTTGGAAATGAAAGTCGGGTTGATGTCAGAACCCGACTGATGTTGGTTTCTGATTCTGACGTAAACCTGATTTTCATTTTCAACCACAATACAACGTCTGTCCAACATTGGAGATTAACATCAATCTGGCGTTGGATTCTGACATCAACCTGATTTTCATTTTCAATGTTGGGTTTGGTCTTGTTAATACGAATTGTTTCATTGTTTTGGAGCACACTAGCTTATAGATAACAGTAAGGCTAACATATTCATACTAAAAGCCAAAAAACTTTAAATAGGGCACTATTTGAGGGAACAGCCATTTGGGTGTCCGAAAACATTGTGGACATTGGTATGGCAGGCATAGATTCAGAGGCATAAGGTACTGTAAGTATTACATACAACAATGCAACAATAATAAAACAATGCTTTGACATTTACTTTTTCTTTTGATTCTTATACTTTTAAAAACGAGTAGGCCTACTTCTGCACTTTTACTTAAGTAAAAATCGGTCTTTACAACTTTTACTTGTAACGGAGTAATATTTGGTATAGTAACTTTCACTCAAGTGGAAGTTGTGTACTTTGTCCACCATATATGTATAGCCTATATACACTGCCGTTCAAAAGTTTGGGATCTGTAAAATTTTGTATGTTTTTAAAAGAAGTCTCTTATGCTCATCAAGGCTGCATTTATTTGATTAAAAAAACCAGTAATATTTTCTATTTGAATATATTTTAAAATGTAATTTATTCCTGTGATGCAAAGCTGAATTTTCAGAATCATTACTCCAGTCTTCAATGTCATGATCCTTCAGAAATAATGATATGCTAATTTGATACTCAAAAAACAATCATTATTATTATCAATGTTGAAAACAGTTGTGTACAATTTGTTTCAGGATTCTTTGATGAATAGAAAGTTCTATGTAACATTATGTAACATTATGTCTTAACTGAAACTTTTGATCAATTTATTGCATCCTTGCTGAATAAAAGTATTGATTTATTTTAATAATGATGAAAATTCAGCTTTGCCTCGCAGGAATAAATAACATTTTAAAAATATATTCAAATAGAAAACAGTTATTTTAAATTGTAATAATATTTCACAATATTACTGTTTTTTTGTATTTTTAATCAAATAAATGCAGCCTTGGTGCGCATAAGAGATCTTTTAAAAACATTAAAAATCATTTCAGCATAGTATTGAATAATAAACTATCAGCCTTTTTGTAGAACTCCACTAAAATAGACATCTGGCTCCATCATCTGGTCAATAGAAGCACTGGAGTTGTGGGTGCAGTACATGTCGTGAGCGGTAGAAGGCGCTGCGGTTCCTTTTCCAGTCCCTTCTCCGCTCGCACTAGGAATGTGCTTGCGTTGCGCAGGAAACCGCTAGTTTCTCAAGACTTACAAATGCGGTGGATGGACTATTAACCGTATTAAAGTCACATTTTAGTAGAAAGCCACCAGAAGAACATTTACTGTCATAACTTGATAAAAACTTTCCCAACAGCCACCTGGAATATTTTTTTTGTGTGGACTGGGTGTCGTTTATCTGAGGACTTGAGTTTTATATTTCACTCATCGACCGTTGACTTTTATCACACTGTTGTGTCAGTATTAAACCTACTTTACAAGTCTTTTTGTCGTCGAGAAAAGGGGATTACGCCTTGAAGATGTCCGTGGCGGGCTTAAAGAAGCAGTTTTACAAAGCCAGCCAGGTTTGCGAGTTACTTTTTTCTGTTGTTTTCTTCCATTGAACCGCAGTGTTGTGCCAGATAGCTTAGCATGCTAACGCTGCGCTAAACTTTTGCCCGCTATTCTGCATTTTAAAAGTGTTTTGTGTGTTTTTCTCTTTGTTGTATTTAACTGTTTCTAAATATTTACAAAGATAAATCGTGCTATTGTTAAATGTCATGCCTTTGTAGAGTTAGAAACTGCTTGCTTTATGTTTTAATGGCCGGTCTTGTCCTAACTTAAGTTACAATCATATTTAATATTTTTGACAGCTTTCATAAATAGTCAGTGTCACTTCATGGACGCTTTCAGACCTAATTAGAGGTTGCAATGTGTTAAAATATGCAGAAGAGTGTCTGTTTTCTTAGCTTGGTATTGCAATACAACGCCCCCGTCCTTACTATATCAGTCCATTTGCCACGTTTACTGTTGTTAAATGAACGATTTTGCACTGGGCTTATGATCTACTCATGAAACAGGATACTTCAAAAATATGTACATGTATATGCTGATTCTGCTTAGAAATACGCCAAAAATATACTGCAGCATCAGGCTTACCAAAGATTACCGCTGTTCCCTTTATTAGCATCTGTTGGACAATCACGTCTTCCATGGGTGTTGTGTTTGTAACCCTCTTGTATTTATGGTTCAAACTTTATGCTGGCAATATGTAATTGGAAAATTTGACACTGTCACACTGGCTTTCATTTTACAAATGGGCAAATAGTCAGCCATGTAACTTGTCAGTGGGTTAAATTAACCTGCATATTATTGAACCAGCACCATTTGGGTCATTCTTAGTATATTTTAAGCTCTTTTAAAATGTAATATGCATATACAATATATAGCATATTTGAATATGTTAATATGCATTGAAATTATTTCTATTAAACAAAAGTGTATTGCAAGGTTTCAGAACTATTTTGGTTAAGCTTGGGTACTTCAGCGAATGTACGCAATGACAAGACAATTAGCAGACTGAAAAATGTAGACATTTTGATAATTCCTAACAGGATGAAAATAACAAGCAATATTAACCAGTCTCTGTAATTTTGTCAAACAGTATTGAGTGTTTTATAGTCGAAACAAAGCCTTACTACAAAACATCTTATAGTCAATCACACATTGCATATTTGTTCATGTTTGTGCTGATATTTTTCCTTTATTTACATTTGTGATGTCATTAAGGAAATGGTGTTTTTTTTCATTATTAATTGGACATTATCATTCTAACAGGATGAAAAGTGAAAATGTGAACAGAAACCTATAAAAGAATTATAAAATAAAACACTACTAACAAGAACATATTTTTTGTTTGATACAATTTGATTATAGCAAGGGAAAAAAAAGAAACACTTATAAAATATTTTTAATTAATTTTTCTCATGTTAGACGTTTACAGTATCAGCAGTATCAAAGTAGAGAAATTACTTAAAATTCTCCCCTATTTTCATATAAATATGATGTGATATGGTAAAAGAAAACCGAGTAACTGACTAATATGGTGTCCATCCAATATATTATTAATACATATAATGGGAGCATGAAAATGAACGGCATAACAGCAAAAACTCGATATAAAAAACTTCAATATAACTGGCCAGAAAAGCTTTACTAATTAAAACTTGTCCATCTAGTTTGGCTTGATATTGTCTTGTTATTATGTTGGGAATGGCAAAATGAAACAGAACCTGAGCGCGGGCTCACAGCAGGCAGTGTGTTGGCTTTCAATGTGCCAAAAGTCTCACTTTGACCCTGTGAAGACAATCAAATGTGTTGTCAGGAAAACCTCTCCCTGATTTTGGCTGCTCTTCTGGCGGTGTTGTGAGGAGGTTCTTTGTCTGTGGTTTATGGTGTAATTAACTCAACTAACTTCTTTTTTTTGTGTGTGTTAATTAGCCTAATATATTAGTTTCGCTTTGCCAGTGCATGGTTGTGTTTTCCTTAGGGCACATGGTCACAGATGTAGGGGAAGCAGCGTATGTCTGTCACTGTTCGCTGATCTCAGCAGGAAGGGACAATCGGTTGCCCAATTTCCTGTCAGGAACATGCTCAGATCCCCAGTGGGGGGTCTACATGAGTGGAGGAGTACAGCAGGGCAGAGGAAAATGGCCAGTGTTTGGGCCGGCGAAGAGTATGAATCATTCAACACTAAGGGGGGTTGGAGTGCTCTCGCCTGCTCTTCTTGGCTTTTTTTATTGGACTGCAGTGCTGCAGAGAACTCATGCCAGCATTCCACAGTAATCAATACTTGACATAGGCCGGACACCCTGCCAAAAGACAAACTCTTAACCAGTCGCACCCTCAGACCAGCCTTCCTCTAGGTGTGCTGTCCATAGAACTGTTTAAGCTACTTTGAGATTGTCTTTTTAATGTGCACTAGGGCTGCATATTGGGAAAAAACTGACATTGCGATATTTTGTTTTTCTGCTATATATATATATTGTGATATGAAAACAATTTCACCAGATGATTTGAATAGCTTGTAAATAATTAATAATTCTAGGATGATTGGGGTGATTTTGTAGGGTAGTGCATTTGCATAGGAAACATTAAACAAATTACAAGCAGTGCTTTGTTTTTCAGGTATATCTAACTGTATTCAGGTACAGACATTGATTAATCAAGTGTAAAATAACACTGCATAGGCTTCACCGTATAAATTAAATATAATTAATTAGTACAATTTATTTTTGTTAAAGCTACAAAAGGGATTTTCTGTTTTGTTGTTTGATTAACATTGATGACACAAAAATCTGCGGGTATATATGGTATATTCGGGTTAAGATGAATGCGCGGGTTAAAATATAGTGATATGGTTAAACTTTGCAATTAATCCGCGAATCACATGCGTTCCGAACAAGGGGCAGCTGGCCCGAATCACAGATCAACTACGATCCCTATACTTGACATCGCACATCCTGTGATGTGAGTGACTATCGCGGATGGTTCGATGCTAAAGCGTTATATTGTGCAGCCCTAATGTAACACACCAGGGAATGTTTTGCATTCTGCAGTAAAATTGTACATATAAAATTGTAAGAATAAGAATGACTGATGATGTGATTGATAGGGCTCGTTACCGGTTCCTGAACGACACTTTTTCTGATATCAATTTAATGAATTTCGTTTTAAAAAGATTACATATTACCTAAAAAAAAAACAAAAAAACATTTGGTTTTATTTTTTTCAGTTTGTTTACTTTTTTTTACAGACTCAATGACTCATATAGGTCACTGGGGGGCGGAATATATGCCTCGCGCTCAAGCGCTCGCGTAAAGCTTGCTGCAAAGCACTGGCAAAAGTAGCCTAATGATCATGAATGTATCGCAAAAAATAGCGAGACATTTTAATTGTTTATTAATAAACTAGTGTTTTCTGAGTCAGTGTTGACTACCTTTCATTTGGATTACATAATCAGTAGGGGTGCAACGGTTCAAATTACTCACGGTTCGATTTGTATCACGGTTTCGGTACGATTCTGTTTATGTTCAGGGAAAAAAGGACTACTGTCAAATAAAAATAAAGAAAATAATAACAAATAATCTAACTACAAGCAACAGCACAAATAAATACAATAGAGCAAAGATACAAATAAAATAAACAGGGCTTTTCTCAGGTGTTTTAGGTAGGTCTAACATTAGTTTTTCAGGTACAGAAGTTCCCAGCTCTAGATTGAATAGCTTTTGAACTTTAATAAGAATTCGTCTTTAATTTATAGTCAAATATGCAATGTTATTTGACGGGTTTTCAGATTTAAGATGAACCGCGGTGCAAGTGCGTGCCGAACCAGGGCCGGATTAAGAGTTCAGAGGCCCCTGGGCACAATATCTTGTAGGCCCCCCCTTAGGCAGGCCAAATGTATATTTTATCCAAGGACATTTTTATATGGCATTTACAGTTTTACTGACTTAAAAGGAACTTTGTTGTACTATGCTGGAGTAAAGTTCATAAATGGTTGTTCTTTCCCATATGAATTTGTAAAGCTATGTTGGGTGGACCTCTGTGCCTCTAGGGGGGTTCGGGGGCATGCTCCCCCGCAAGAAAATTTTGTACATTTTAAGGTTAAATGCATCAATCTCGTGCTCTTTGAGAGATCAAAATTAAGAGCTTCAACCCATGAACTGCTCGTTGAACAAAGAAAAAGCATTGATTTGTACCAGGAAAATAAAGAGGGCTCAAACATCTTTTTAGTTATGAGAGTCTCAGTCTACATTACATTATCAATGGTGTTTTAGGATGCCAAACAATTATTATAATAATCTAATAATGATTTATATAATTATTCCTATGACGTAAAATCCATAGCCTATAAATGAAAATGAATATTTTAAAAGTATATTTTAGTCTACATTACACTATAATACAGGAAAATTAATATACTTTTGTCCTAATTTCTTCACTTGCAAGAAATAAACCCTTGAGCTTTTATTTAGGAGAAAACACCTGATAACCATGCTGATCGCGTGAGCAAAGTGCACACTTTTCTTTAAATCACCCAGCACAAACAGGATGCCTATTCTTAAAGTCTTGTGCTGTTTTATAAAGGCACAAAGCCATCATGGTTTCGATTTTAGTTCGTTGGCAAAATATAACGCTAGAGACCTTTATGTTGGGTAAGGTTATACATTTTACATCTCATATGTGTTGGGAAAAGGGAGAAGAGAGAGTTCGGCAAAAGACGGATTCGAACTCGGGTCGAGCGCATCAAAAGCTGCTTTTAAAACACTTCACGCACTACGACCTACGCCACTGTAGCTATTCAGAGACGCGCGTCTTTTTACTAAAAAGACAGGCACTTAGTGCAAATATACGCTCCGTTATCTAAAATATATTTTTTCTTCCCCTCGCTTGGGCCATAAGTGCGCATGGCGAACTTGCAATGAATACATTTTATCAGACCGGCCCTCGCGGCCTCGAAACACTACAGGTCCACCAGGGGAAACTCCCTACTCTCCCGATTACCACTCCGCCCCTGGTGCCC